CTCTGAACTACACTGTTAACTTATTTTAGACTGTTCAATGATATAATGTGTAGGTATTTAGCCATACCTATGGTGTGATTTAATGTTTTTCTCCATTATAAACTGTGGAATTTAAATTTGATAACTGTTTAATAAATTAAGAAAAACATGGAATCGAGTATTATGAATTTATCAAATAATGTACGTACTTTGGCTAATAAAAAGTAATTGACCAAAGTTAAAATTCACGGTGTAGATAATTAGTTTTATGTACTTTTGTGAATAACACCATTCAGTCAGTAAGCAAATTCATGTTGGCAAAATGAAGAATTTAGAGTTTAGCAAATTAGCCAAACAAACTAAAAGCAATTGGTACAGCGATGAATTTCAACTTCAAACAATCCGGTGGCAAATTGTTGAGAGAACGCAAAATTCTTACTGCATAAGGTTGCTTTGATTTTTTTATATTCTCAGTTATTCTTTTCTTACAGCGATACGTGCTTAGTATATTTAGGTCCACACTTTTACCAGTCAGATGTTTGTTCTGAGACATTAACTTTTCAATCTTGAATATTTAATCTCTCTGGAATTTAGGGAAACAAAAGCCATAATATTTTCAAACTCAACTTTGAAACAATAGCTGAGAAAAACTTTTGAATTTATTTTTGAACTTCAGTTTGTCATGATCTGGCCTGATTCCTCCACCTTAATGTTTTATTTCTTTCACCTGTCGTTTTCCTTCCTGCCTCAATTATCATTTATCCCTCTCACCTGTTTCCTTTGCTTTATATTCAGTTCAGCAGGAGCATTTGGGGCCAGATTATTGTTTGATTTCTGTTAACTTTCTGTTTGTTCCCAGTTTGATTTCTGTTTCACCGCTCAGTCAGTTTTGTTAAGTTTAGTTAGTTCTAAGTTTCTTGTCCCTGTTCCAGTGAGGACTTTATTCTTTAGCCAGTGTCCTCAGGCGAGTTATTCCCCAGTGGTGAGAGCGTTTCAGTGTGTCCCAAGTGATTCGGTTTTCCTGATTCCGTTCCCTCTCACCCACCGGCTCTGTTTGCCTCTGCCTGATCTGCCTGCCTGAACCTCAGTTGGACTCCTGCTGGATTCTGACCATCTGTGCATTTTCAGTCTGAGCTGGATGCACCGTACCCTGCACCTGCCTTCTCGCTCTGATGGATTCCTGGAAGCCGGATCTGTCCGTTCTGTGGTGGACTGAACTGTAGAAACAGGTAAGTGACTCGCTATAATTATCATCTGTTCAGATGATCGTGGTCACTTACTTGCGTTCTCTCTACAAAATCAGAGATGGCACCTGCAGTCGCTGTACCACAGCAGTGTGTGTCTGTTCCACCTTTTGTTTAAATAAACATTTTGAACTTTCCTACTAGCTGTCTCACCTTGAATACTGGGTCCATCTGCCATGACAGTGTTCCTACTGAATCAGATTCATTTATACAAACTCCTACAAATTCAGTCAAATATGTGATTCTGGAGCTGCTCCTGAAAAGCATAGAAACCAGCCCACCATGTGTGCGGATCACGATCCTATTGATTTCTTTTTTTTTTTTTTTCCTATTGATTTCTTCAAACAACAGAATCTTCCAGTACCTAAGGACTTTGTTGGTTCCTTGAAAGGTTTCTTTTATTTTGGTTTAGCTGGACCAACGGCACAATTCCAACCACAAATATGGAGCATAAACTAAATCATTCAGGCCTTTTGTTAATGATCACAGTGTTATACACAATTATTTTCTTCTATTTAAGGATTTATTGAAATAATCTAAAACTAATTATTTTTGATTGACAAACTGATTTTAATCTACAGTGTGTATTAATTAAATTAAAAAAGTGAATACCTTTTTCTTTTGTTATTGTGTGATTTAGAACTTTTACATTTGGTATACACATTGCTTACTAAATGCATTACAGTGTAACTGCCTTATTTCTGGTTCTTTCATAGATTTAATTGCTTTTTTTTTTTTATCATTAATTTCAAAGAAATAAAATTTCAGAATAAGGTTCCTTTATCGGGTTTTAAATACAAGACAAATCACAACTAATTACCCTGACACACTGAAAAGTATGCCTCACCTATAAATATCCTATATTGGGAAGCTGTTTAGAAAACTGTTCTTGAAAAGGAGATCCAATGATCTGTATGTTACATTAATGAGCATAACGGAGATAGCATAAATAAAAACGTTTTTTTTTCTTTAAGCTTAGCTGCTGCATCCATATTTTCCTCCTTCCACTTTTCTTTTGTCATTAATCCCTCTCCTATTTCTTATATTTCTCATTTTTCATACTGATAGGTACAGAAGAGGAATAGGGCCACTGAAAAAAGAATAAGCTAACTGATTTTTAAA